GTTAATTTTGAAATTTAGCGTGAATGCGAATTAACTTTGTTATCACCATTTTTCATATCGCCCTACAAAGGAGGTTTTTAACATAGGTAAGAGTTGACTTCACAATGATTTTGACAATTTTCAGATAAGAATGGACGACGGACTATCACAGCAGATTTGCACGCGATGTGTAGAGACCATGACTATAGCGATGCAGTTCCGAAGAACCAGTCGGAAGGCTGAGAAGGAACTACGGAGTTTGCTGTCAGGTATTCCTAATAGGGTAGATGACTAATTTTTATTTTAATGTCCGTCTGGTAGATTATTTTAAAACATTAGCCACGTATTTTTTATTTTCTTAAAGAAACGAATAACATAACATAACATAACATCACGCCGTTTTATTTCCGAAGGGGTAGGCAGAGGTGCACATTTCGGCACTTAATGCCACTGTACAATGTAACACCCACTTTTCACTATTAATGTTATGAGTCCCATGTAAGAAACGAATACTTTCGACGATATATTGATTTGAAATGTCGCGTGACGTCACTTCTAGAGATATACATACGTAGAAATGACGTTTTAGGCCTCACTCCTAAACTTTGATTCGTTTTATCTAAGTACTGTTTTATTATACGACAAAATAAAAAATACGTGTCTAATATTTTTTCATTACCTAACTGACGGAATAATTTGATTTTTAATTTTCATACCCTGTCATCATCCCAATTCTGAAACTAATAGGGTAGTTGCAAGGGAATGTAAATTAAAATCTAACTAGTTATCTACACAAAGATTTGCTACGTGCAGGAATCGAACCCGCTACACGTTTTAGGGCAACCGGTTGCCGTGCAACGTGGAGCAGGTATGTGTTGGTCGTAGAAATTCTCAGTCCTTCGGGGCTGCTATCATGACTATAATAACCTCATCCATTATTTCAGTCTGCGACCGCACCTGCACGGATTCTATAAGGAAATCAGTAAATCTCACACTTCGAAGGAGTATGGCTAGACCTAAGGTAACTATTTATAATTTTATTTTAATACGTAAAAGATCAGATAATTATAGATAAATAATATAGATAAATGCCCAATTATGCCCCCTCCCCAGTTTCCCCAATCCCTGAATCCTCCACATACCTCAAATTCCCAAACAGGCAATATTTAGTTTTTAATATTTAGTTTTACCCATTTTTAATAAAATTTACACTTTAAAATGTCAAACACCAAGCGGGCACCGGTGACTGCAACCTATTGTTCTATAATTGTGTCTACAAAACCGGTACTCGACGAGTTAAAGATAAGAAGGTGGTGAAACAAGAAGAAAGAAAAAAAAATTATTTAAAAATATCCATTGGGCCAGGGCTAAATAAATTAGGGCGGAGTAAGTAGTAGATGACCCCACCTATCCACCATTTTCGTATGTTCAACGTTCTGCCAAACACCCTGTATAAAACTATTTTTATGCAATAAATAAAGAGTACTCAATTTTAACCCGTTGAAATTCATCCCCTAAATTTGTTCATACAAAAGTAGTCTCTAAACATGGGAAATAAGGTCTATAATGTAGTTAGTGGAGAGCGGTCACCGGTGACCGCTTGGGGGATATAAATATCGTGCCATATCTGTCATTTTACAAAGACTTTGTAGCGACAGAACTATACCGAGTGGTCGCAAGTGCGGCTGCCGGGCAAGGGGTACCATGATCGATTGGACAACGGGCAAAGTGTTACTGGGTATTTAAAAACAAAAGTTCTCAGTAGTAGCACGGAGTCTGGCATTGTGCCCGGTATATCGCAATAGCCTCACCCCTTATTACATGGGACTCATAACATAAATAGCAAAAGTGGGTGTTACATTGTACAGTGGCATTAAGTGCCGTAATGTGCACCTCTGCCTACTACTTCGGGGATAAAATGCATGATGTTACGCACGACTTAAAACTGAGTAGCGTTTCGACAATAATTTTACCTATCTCTGTTTCCAAGGTGGTCACAGTACCTAGACGTAAAGTGCCCCCGAATCCAATGAAGACCACGAAGGTTGAGAAGGTGGAACTGAACGACTATAGTTACGAGATCTGTGGCGAGGAGTTCCAGAACGATGACGTTGATGACGATTACTCAGTCGTCGTCAAACCGGAGACTAACGATGTTACTGAAGTTGTTGAAGAGTTGGTGAGTCATTTTCTATTGTAAAATTCATCTTTTCCTGATCAAAAATCACTCATATCCTTCGCCGCACTGGGCTCGCTGCCATCGCAGCGGTAAGTTCCATCTTTGAGGAGTGGCTTGAGAGACGCTACGGCGTCCTCACCTACCGCCTGACGCAAGTCCTCACCGGACATGGAAGTTTCGGGAGGTACCTGTGTCTGATGGGGCGGGAGGAAACGCCCGGGTGTCATCACTGCGAGGACCGCCCTGAGGACACGGTGGAACACGAAAGTAATATTAATTTTTATTTAAATCTCATGCTAATGTTACGGCCGCTAAAAACTTGACAAATTAGTCATTAAAATAAAATAAAAAAATTGGTTCTCCACATACGTACTTATTTATATTAAATTGGTTAAGGCTATCTTAAAAAAATTTAGTAGCATTTCAATATTAGGGCGATAGGCATGCAATATACATATAGGCATAGGGGAGAAGGTGGCCAAACGACATCCTGTTAAGTTTAAAAGAAAATGACTAGCGGAACATAATATTACATATATAAATAAATATATAGATGTAATAGAAATCATTAATTCATTATACATACTCGTATGTAATTGTTTTACATTAATTATTATCTTCAGTTTGATTTGCGACTTAATAATATAATAATGGCAAATATTAAAAACTTTACTAAACAATTCAAAACGATTTTAAATTAGTTATAATTATGTATAATTAGGTATAATTATCACTTGTAATATGACAAATACAAGTTTTATTATTTTATTATTTACTTTGAATTAATGAAAAGACTACAGACTATTTCGTTTGCTGAACAAAGAAAGACTTTTCATAACCATAAATACCAAGCCAACAACTGACTATAACATAAAAAAACCATTCCTACACCCGAAATAACCCATAAAAACCACTACATTGCATCCTTTTAACCACTGAATGCGCATAAACATCGTCGCGTGCGCAGGCCACGTGCGCCGGCGCAACACGTGATCGTTACGCAACCCACAAGGTCGCATTACGTAACATAAAGTCTATGGACTTGTCTATTATCTATTAATCTAGGCGTACCGTGCGAATCGCCTTTTGTAGTCACGTTTTGGATAAACAAAATGTTAGGTTTTTTATTTATGTATATATATCTATTTATTTATTACCTGTTGCTTATGTTGGTATTGCATTTTATGGATATTTGTATGGTAGGGTCAGGTTGGTAAATCATAAAATTTGCAGTACAGGATTTAGAATATTTCTCAAAGATATTTCGGAAACTAGTACTATGTTAGTTCTTAGTAAATTACTGTAAAACTCGATAAAATAAATGTTGTACTTAACTAAGAGTTCAGCATTTTGCATAGTATGCTTTTGACGAGACATCATATTGATTCATACTGATTGTAAAAATAATTAAACATATTCATGTGTATATGTAAATAATTGCAAGCGATACTTAAACAGCACTGTCTAAGGCCTAAGAAATAAATTTATTATTTATTTATTTAAATCCACCTATCATTACATTTTTCTCCATTGCGATAGTTAAGGCCTAAAACTAAATCTTTGTACCTTTTTTTTTTTTGATGACTGGGGGAAACCTTCAAAAGGCGCCCAGCCTTTTTGGGGATAAAAGACTAGGGAGTGTGGGATTTTTACCTCACTAAAACCACCCCGGTGGCCACCCTCAACACCTGAATGGAGGCACCGGGTCCTCTAAAAGAGAAAATCTTTGTACCTAATTACTAATTAAAATAAAGACAAAACAAAATCAAAAAGAGAGCATACACAAACTTAACTATTAACTAAAACTAATGAAACAAATAAAAATAAAATCAAGAAAAATATTATTTTTAAGTTCTCCTACTATGTCATTAAAACTTAATATTAATCCATAAAAAATAAATCAGATAATACTGACGACGTTATGGTCACGAGATCAGCGGTGAACTACTTACTAAATAACAATAATAAAAATAAATGTACCTACTACCTATCTCCCAAAGGCGTGCGGTCCGTGTATAGTATATGTGAATGTTATGAATGTTAGCCGTTTTTTTACAAACTTTTATTATATTATTGAATCTTAATAAACGCGTTTGTACATTTTATGTCAAGCAAAGCCTATTTGCCTATATGGACTGCACACCACTGCTATCTCCCGTATAAAAGTTTTACACAAATACAGAAGAAAATACATCAAAGTCAAAGTCAAAGTCAAAGTCAAAGCATTTATTTCAATTAAACCATAGTTTGGTACTTTTGAAACGTCAACAAATACAAAATAAATAATAGTCTGTCAGTCAGTCCGTCAGTGAAGCTAGGTGAAGCTAGGTGCTCATTCCAAAACGTAGATTCGAATGGAGAAGAACGAGCAAGAAACTCCATTCGTTACTCTTTTAAAAAAGTATGTTCTACAATGTCTCTGATACATATTTCAATACTGTACGCATATTATAAGAACAATGCAAAGACACGCTTGACGCATTATACTAATAACTTACTAAAATAAAAATAATAAAGATCTTAAGTCTAACATGGTGCTCACATATGCATACTGACAATCCATAGAAATAGTGCTTCTATACAAGAAAAAGGAAACTCTTTGTTTCAATAAAGAAAAGCTTAGAAATAGCTTAGGGGTTCCTTAAAAATTCCCTTTTTCTTCTCCCAAGATCCACGAACGACGTCACACTGGGGAGCGGCCCTATATATGTGACCACTGCGGCGCCACCTTCCATCGGAGGTCGAACCTTGTACAGCACATTGCTATACACCTCCCCGAGAACAACTTCCAGGTGAGAAACTTATATTTACATCCTACTAATATTATAAATGAAAAAGTTTGTGTGTTTGTGGTGGCTCGAAGGTCAAGACGCCCGCTTCTCATGCATGGGGGTGCGTGTCGAAACCTACCAACGACAAGTACCAATGTGACTATTTCCGAGTTATATGTACTTTCTAAGATTATTTAGACACCACTGACAAACGGTGAAGGAAAACATCGTGAGGACACCTGGGCTTATAATTTCTAATTATAAGTTTGAATTCGCTAACCCGCATTGAGCAAGCGTGGTGGTTAATGCTCAAACCTTTTCCGTGCGAGAAGAGGCCTTTGGTCAGCAGTAGACATTTATAGACTGTTGATGTGTGATGTGTGTTTGTTCCTCAATCATGTCAAAACGGCTGAAGGGATCAGGATGAAATTTGGAACAGGGATAGATTACGGTCTGGAATAACACATAGGCTTTTTATCTCACGGGGACGCGGGCGAAACCGCTGGCAGAAGCTAGTATTTCATATGAGATTGCTAATAGGTTGGGTGAAGTTTTATTATGATTCTAGATATTTTCTTTAATGTACGGAGTGGAGAGTTGTGCGTCATTGTATTTGATAGTCTAACTACCTTGTGGAACTTCTGCTACTGCACAACGTGTTGTGGGTTCGATTCCCGCACGGAATAACTCTTTATGTGATCACAAATTGTTGTTCCGCGTCCGAGTGTCATCTCTCTGTGTAATGTGTATATGAACTTGTATATTTGTAATCGCACTCACGACATAAAAGACAATCCCAGAGGCCACGTTTATATAAAATATTGTCTAGTCATATTATCATGACCCCCTAAAACATAATGTCATATGACCCCCAATCACTAATTAAAATTTGTTTTTGACCCCCAAACAGTGTGACATGTGCCCGAAACGGCTGAAATCGCGCAAATTCCTTCAGATACACAAATATAATATGCATACTGGTAAAAGATATGGTTATCTATGTAGCATATGCGAGCATAGATTCGAAAAGCCTAATAAAGTACGTGCGCATATGCGAAGGGTGCATGGAGCTGCTGACGACCAAATTGGACCTATAGCTAGAGTACAGCTATAAGATAATATTATAAAAATGAAGAGTTTGTTTGTTTGAACGCGCCAATCTCCTGAACGACTGTTTCGAATTGAACAGTTCTTTTTGTGTTGGATAGTCTATTTATCAAGGAAGGCCGTGGGCTACATAACATCACGCTGCGATCAATAGGACCCAAGCAGTTGGAAAGTGAAGTCGTACGGGAGTAGCTAGTAACAGGAGGCTTGGAACAGGAGAAAGAACGGGGTGGTGTTTAGTCAGTAAGAGTCTGACACTCCCTCCCGCCTCACCAATGAGAAAAAGAAGCTCTAAAAATGCTGAAACGCTAAATCGTATATGTGTTTGTTTCTATAACTAAGCACGAACAAGATGTGGATATTTTTTAAAGATAACATTGGGATTATCTCGGTTGGTGGTACACGATGATGCGGCCTACGAAGGAGCTTGTATAAATAAGCAACCTATTCATTTGGGCCTTGAAGGTACCCAGGTTATACCCTTCAGGAAACAGACTCTAGCAAAGAATTCCACTCCTTAGCTGTTCGCACAAGAAAACTCGAAGCGAAACGCGTCGTTCGGATGGGTGAAACTTATACCATATAACGGTGACATTTTGCAGATTGTCTGAGAGTGCGATGATGAAATGAATTGGAATTAAGTTGTGCAATATTAATAGCTATTTATGAATAATAGAAAAAAATATAATAATACTATTTAGTACATTCTATGGCAATCATTCATTTTAATAAGTTTTTGTTTTTAGACACTATAACTTGCCTTAAAGCTGATATAGAATAAGTCGTAGCTTCAAGTACCGCTAGTGTGTTTATTTTAAAACATAGAATTTTAGATCTCTTAGGTTTTAAATTATAGGATGGCAAACGCCTTTAATATGCCACTTTAATATGTAAATAGCACGATTAATGATTATGGATTAGGAATTTGAGGATTATTGAAGAGTCGAGGCTTTAGGGAGATTAAAAGAGGAATTGGGCCTCTGGTTACCTCACTCACACGACAAAACACACCGCAAACGGTGTTTCACGTCGGCTTTCATTGTTAATTATGTTATGTTTTTATAATAACTATCGTCAGATATACTTAAGCTCTACTAGTTTCGAACCACAGAGAGGTCTCATGAGGGCTCTTGCTAGCTAGTAGGCTGCGCGACAACGCCGCGACCGCGCACGCTGCTCGTGATGAAGAACCCCTCTTTATGAGACTGTGTCCGCCTTTTTTCATTTTTCAACGTCACATAATAATTTATTTTAGACAAATAAAGCATTTTATACTATTATTCAATTTGTAGAAATTAAAAGTCATCTTTCTTACTAATATTATAAATTGCGAAACTTTGTAAGTTTGTGAGTATTTGTGTTACGTAATCACGTCAAACGGCTGAAGGGACTGGGATGAAATTTGGAACAGGGGTAGATTATGTTCTGGAACATTTATTTATGCTTTATTGTACACATTTAAGTAACCTAAGAAACAAACAATTTAAGCAAACATGCGTAAAAAGGATGGAAATTTTATAAGAAGTCCGATATGGCGTAGTTAAGTGCACAATAAAAAAAAAACTAAATAAAAATACCTACAATAATAATACACCAGCAAATCCAGCAATATAATAAAATACATAAAATAATATGTCGGCCTCGTTGGCCGAGTGGTCGCAAGTGCGACTGCCGGGCAAGGGGTCTCGGGTTCGATTCCCGGGTCGGGCAAAGTATTACTGAGTTTAAAAAAAAATCTCAGTAGTAGCACGGAGTCTGGAAATGTGTCCGGTATATGGCAATAGGCTCACCCCCCAACATAAATAGTGAAAAGTGGGTGTTACTTCTGTGTGCACCTCTGCCTACCCCTTCGGGGATAAAAGGCGTGATGTTATGTTTAAAAACTACTTAGGAGACAACTAAAGTTAAAACATAATGAAACAATGAACTTATAAATTATCATTTCCATAAATTATCAAATCCTTAATATGGTAATAACAATGGTTAGTAAATTTTTCAGTTCATTTTTGAATAAATTATTATTTATATTTTTCAAATTGTGCTCAATTTTAGTATATATTATAGGTGCCTTACAAAGCTTGCAGAGTGAGGCTGAAGATTATGTTTATATTTCTTGCGACTATTCCTATTATTATTATAAAAATAAAAAAAACACATAGGCTACTTTTCATACCACGGCAATAAAGGCGAAGCCGCTGGTAGGAGCTAGCTAAATGATAATTAAATACACATACAATATTGTAAAATCATGTAAGTTATTAAATATTTATTATTTTTATTTCCATAACTGCTTCATTGGCCGAGTGGTCGCAAGTGCGACTGCCGGGCAAGAGGTCTCGGGTTCGATTCCCAGGTCGGGCAAAGTATTACTGGGTTTGTAAAAACCTCAGTAGTAGCACGGAGTCTGGAAATGTGCCCGGTATATGGCAATAGGCTCACCCCCTATTACATGGGACTCATAACATAAATAGTGAAAAGTGGGTGTTACATTGTACAATGGCACAATGTGCACCTCTGCCTACCCCTTCGGGGATAAAAGGCGTGATGTTATGTTATGTGTTTTATTTCCATTTGCAAAGTTGAAGCTGAAAGGGGTCTTAGGATCTAGACCCCATATAGCATTATGTCTATAGACCCCCTAAGATTTATAACATAGTTTGTTGTAATAAATTAAAAATATAATAACGTACTTATTGACTGCCATGTTATTAGAGTGGTTAGTAGCCGAGGTGTCGCGTCGGGAAAATATTATTCACTGTTTATTTTTTTTTAAATCACAACAGTCATTAGAATAGAAGATTATTATATAAATATAGATTATTTAACACACGTGAAAAGGGGTTGTTAAATTGTATATGTGCTGAGCAAATCTGTCTATCCCTTCGGATATTAAAAAAACGTGAAGCTACGTGTATTATATAAAACTGAATAGTTAGTTTTTTTATGGCATAAGCCGGTAAACGAGCAGACAGATCACCTGATGGTAAGCAATCGGCGTCGCCCATGGGCACCTGGAACACCAGAGAAGTTACAAATGCGATGCCACCCTTTATAGTTAATGTTAAGTTGTAGTAATTTTTTGAATAAATGAATTTTATATCATTAAAGTGTTTTTATTTATTTATTTAAAATGCTTCATGCACAAAATGTACAAAAAGGTGGACTTAATGGTGTTTTATTTCAATATTTTATTCTGTGTTTCAAAGTCAAAGCATTTATTTCAATTAAACCATGATTTGGTACTTTTGAAACGTCAACAAATACGAAATACCTAAATAATAGTCTTTCAGTCTGTCCGTCAGTAAATCTTTTTGTTTTTTTTTTGATGGGGAAAATCATCCAATGACTTCTCTCGCCCGGGTGACGCGAGTCATGTGTATGTGAACTAGTATGTTTGTAAACGCACCCACGACACAGGAGAAGATCCTAGTGTGGGGCAACGTTAACAACAAACATTCCAAAAGGGTGGCTTATTGTATGCTTGTGCTTTGGGCTCCAGCTTAGTCTAAGACGGTTCTGCTCGTATTGACCTGTACAGTAGAAGGAAAAGACCGAGAGGCCGGAGTCCTATATGATGGTCTGACCAAATATACAAGAAGCTGGAGATACGTTACCCATGAATATTGCAATGTAGTCAAGCAACGAAACGAGATAAGTAGCGACATCTAGTGAACAAAATCAGAGGGAGTCACGATCCTCAGCAGTGAGGGAATCAACTAAGAAGATTAGCATGGAGTCTGATATTGTGTTCAGTAAATTGTATATATATTAATAGGCTCACCCTCTATTACATGGGACTCATAACATAACTGATAAACAGTGTTACATTGTAAATTAAACTCTCAAACACCGCGAAGACACCGGTGACCGCAACCTATTGTTCTTTAATTGTGTCTATAATGACTGTGTCAACGAGTTAATTAACTCGTCGAGTACCGGTTTTGTAGACACAATTATAGGTTGCGGTCACAGGTGACCGCTTGGTGTTTGACAGTTTAAAAATCGCGGGTTACTCACGTGAAAATATTGAGAAAGTCTCTACTAGTTTCGAGCCACAGAGGGACTCTGCCTCAAGAGTAGCGTGCGCAGTCGCAGCGATGTAGCACAACCTATTGGCTAGCGTTGGTGTTGGTATTTGCGCTGCGAGCCCACCGCACCCTCTGACGGAAACCACGCGCGTTTGATTCCAACTCCGGCGGCGACGCGTGCGACGATGATAAAACGCATGGTACGTTCACCAGGTGGCGTGGGTACTGGGATCTTCCAGGTTTGGCACAAAGTTAGTGTTACATACAACGCTTACTGTGTCACACTATATATTATGTGTTGTTGTTGTGTGTTACATTGTATCTTCAAAGAATAGGTAGGTTTTGATAATAAAACACAAAATATAAATAATAGACTATCAATCTTATTTATTTATTTCTAATTATTGTGCATCAATCTTTTGTACAGACTACTAATAAATTCATAGACAACTTTTATAACCTACAATGAACTATTATAATAATATCTTTGTGCTAGGGGCTCACTAGATGGCAGTAATATAGAGTAAGGTCCTGTATGGTCTATTAAACACTTTGACAACACGGTTAGCGTGGTATCTGAGCACGGTATAGAAAAAACAGTGTCTGAGCAACCGGTAAAGTGGGGATCGATTTCTGCGCGGAACAACTCTTTGTGTGATCCACAAATTGTTGTTCCGTGTCTGTGTGTAATATGTATGTGAACGCTTTTTAAATCAAATTAAACTGCTTTTTAAATTAAACTGTCAAACACCAAGCGGTCACCGGTGACCGCAACCTATTGTTCTATAATTGTGTCTGCAAAACCGGTACTCGACGAGTTAAATATCTTGTAGACACAATTATAGAACAATAGGTTGCGGTCACCGGTGACCGCTTGGTGTTTGACAGTTAAGAGTTAAAATCAAGCTATTATACAGTTAAGCATTTATTGCTATGTAAACTAAACGTGTATACAAAATTTCAGCTCAATCGGTTGAAGATATCTGCTTCATAATTCAGTTACAAGATTCCACTACATACACACACACATATATGCAGTGCAAATTAAATAAAACCTTGTAATAAGACAGGACCTCACACTACATTACCCCCTTTAGTGAACAGAAAAACGTTTGCCCTCTTACACAAAATATCTTACAGGTAAAAACTGATTTACTTTTACAGCGAGTCCAACATCTAACTGTAAGGCTACCCAATTTCAATGTCTTCTCAAATATCGTGCCATCTCTGTCATTCTACAAATAATCGGGTACTTTCCTTAATAAAAAATAAATCATTTCGACTGTTCAATACAATAACTTTCATTGATTGATTTTATGACCAACTCCATTTTAGTATTCTTCCAGCTAATTTTTAACAAATAAGTATGCTGTTTGACGCTGAAAAAACGTGACGTCACAATACACAATCTCGTACAAAATTCATAGAAAACTGTCGTTTTTGACAGTTCGAAAAAAAGTATTGAATATGACTAGTTGGTTTAAATTTTGTACGAGATTGTGTATTGTGAGGTCACGGTTTTTTAGCGTCAAACAACATACTTATTTGTTAAAAATTTGCTGGAAAAATACTAAAATTAAGTTGGTCATAAAATCAATTAATGAAAGTGTGATTGTTTTTAAATATCTTGTTGTATTGAACAGTCGAAATAATTTATTTTTGATTAAAGGAAAGTACCCATTTGACAGAACTATAGGTACCTAAGCGTGACATAAAATTGAGTAACGTTTGAGATATATTGTATCTCTAGATTTGATTAAATACATGATACAATGAAATCTTCACACGTGGGTTGATTTTATTGCATAGGGCTGTAAACGAGCAGACGGATCACCTGATGGTAAGCAATCGACGTCCATGGACACCCGCAGCACTAGAGCAATTACATATGCGTCACCGGCCTTTTGAGGATTGTTTAAGATTCAAGGATTAAGGAGGGGGGAGGGATTGTAATTGGGACTTCGGTTACCTCACTTACACGACGAAACACAACGCAAGCGTTGCTTCACGTCGGTTTTCTGTGAGACCGTGGTATCACTCCGGTCGAGCCAGCCCATTCATGCCGAATCATGGTTCTCCCATACGTTTGACATAAGCTCTGTATTAACACGTGGGCTCACCATGTTTCGGCACTGCTATATCAGCTCGACCGGAGTTCTACCACGAATATATGTATACAGAATTATATTGTGTCGTCGACGATATTTTCGAACCGATACGACCTTCAAACCTTTGAGAAAAGAGAGTATTCCTAAGACCGGCAACGCACCTGTGACTCCTCTGGTGTTGCGTGTGTCCATGGGAGGTGTTGATCGCTTACCATCAGGTGATCCGTATGCTCGTTTACCAGGTATACCTTAAAAGAAAACGATTTCATAGAAAACCGAAGAGAAATACAATCCCCGCCTCCCATCCCATCCTCTACTCTCCAACGCCCGCAAAGAGTCGGCACGATAAAAAAAATGTATCTTTAGCAAGCAAATCTACAGATTAAATAGCTTATTATGAGCCTGGTTATTCGATTACTAATAACAAAATAAATAAATGCTACATATAACATGTGCTTTGGCAATATTTCACTTAAATAAATTACATATATTTTATTTTTATAGTAGATTTTTTTTTTTAAGGGGTTAAATCATCGAATGACTGCTCCCGCCTGGGTGAGGCGGGAGGGAGTGTCAGACTCTTACTGACTAAAAACCACCCCGTTCCTTCTCCTGCACGTCGAGTCGGAGCCCCGGTTACCTGTTAGGTTCTCCGCGACTTTATAGTAGAATAGCTCACTATGATATTTCTGGATTTAGTTCAACAGTACAAAATCACTGCATAGTATAAAACAAAGTCGCTATCCTGTCTAAGCTCAAGTGAACCCTTAAAATTATAATAGCGAGCTACTATAAGAGCCTGTCCGCTCAGCAAAACAAAATACACGGGGATTTCTTTACGTATTGCGCATGAAATTACATACTTTTTCAGGGCTCGTACACAAAACTGCGATGCGACGTCGCATCGTAAATATGTGCGGGCTCCCTCTACTTATCGCAAGAACTTGCGAATTGATTCGCATCGCGCATCAAAATCTTATCTTCCCAAAATCTTCTTTGTTTCTTTTTTCCTGTATCTCCTAAGCAATAACAGAAGTGCACACTTCTTTTTACGATCCATGTCACGACCTAGTTTTCAATTTAAAATACGTTTAGTACGGTGGACGGTCGTCGAAGGAATGGTTCCCCTGGGAGACGCCTTGTCGCACGAAATCGCATCGCAGCAATTCGTGTCGTAATTTTTTGCGTTGCAAATTCGCGCAGTTTCGTGTACGAGCTCTATGGCCTCTGATGTGTTTATCTGACAGTTAAATAACATACATCGAAGAAACGGAGCCACTAGCATTTTTTATTTTTCATTTCTTGATAAATATTTTCGGATGCAAGTATTTTCTTGATTGGTAACGGTATGTAGTATAAAAGAGCATTTTGTTGTAAAAGGAATATTTTTTTTTAAGTTATAGATGGTTCGACAAAATAAAAAAAAAGCTAGTGGCTGCGTTTCGTTGTTCCAAATGTAGACTTCATTTATTTATCTACTGGGTAATGAAACAATGAAACTGGTCGCTAATACATCCTAATTATATTATTACAAATAAATAGGAAACTTATGTTTTTATGACAAAGAAATAATAATATCATAATCTAATACTTTCTTTTTTAATATTTACAATTTTTTTAATCTACATAGTTGTAAGGACCGATAGTCTCGACTAAGGTAACGACATAATTCGGTCGCTAAGTCGTGATTTTTTAACAGAATTTAAAGTTGAAAGTTCATCATTCACTCTTAGGGTAAACTCACACTGAAAGAGCGACGAAGCGCAGCTAAACTGAGCAAATTTAGTGTCATATGAATTTAAACTTTATTTTCATTACTATAATACTTATAATCGCATGAGAAACTCGAGCGAGTAGTGTAGCCCGCGGCGCCGTGGTAATGTCGATGAATTAAGTAGTTTCCTCGGTCAAAAATAAATTATTTTGATGTTTCAGTCTTACTGTGACAGTACTTTCATTCATTGATTTGTCGATATACTTAATTTTCGATTTATTCTAGCTTTTTTTAGATATAATTGTGCTATTTGACGCGAAAATATCATAGAACAGTATCGTTTTTGACGTTTCGATAAAAGTATTGAATTTGACTAGTTGTCAACTACTGTATTCCATAAACGAGAAAACTTTGGAAGTCGCGTGATACCGCGCTTCGGTGCCTTTCGCCGCTCCTTCGGTGACGGTTGGTATTAACCGAACCCTTAAGGTGATATCAGACGGTTCATTGTCTTTCATTCTGGTCAAAATTATACATCTGGATATGAGAATGAAACAAGAGTGAAGGAATTCATCAGTGAACCAATCCAATGATGTTGGATGTCGGAATGAACACAAAATGAACTGTCTGCACACAGAGTGAACGTTCACATGGATTTAATTAAATGATCACAAATTAAAGATATTCTGAGACGCATTACATGATTTTAAAAAACGATGAATGTTTTTTTTTACGAGGTAAGTCGGTAAACCGGCAGACGGATCACCTGGTGGTAAGCAATCGGCGTCGCCCATGGACACCTGGAACACACGAACACGACAGAGGCGTTACAAGTGCGTTATCAGCCTTTTGGGAATTAGGAGTTTGAGGATTGTTGGGGATTCGGGGATTGGGAACCCTGAGGAAGGGGGTACCTAATTGGGCCTCCGGTAACCTTACTCACACGACGAAACACAACGCAAGCGTTGCTTCACGTCGGTTTTCTGCTCGGCCGTGGTATCACTGCGGTCGAGCCGGCCCATTCGTGCCGAAGCATGGCTCTCCCACACTTGGTTCACACATGAATGTTCAATGAATGAATGAATGAATGAATGAATGAATGAATGTCATTTATTTCTCAGTTCATGATGCACACAGATCTTAAAATTCATTTCTTTGCCGTTCCACTAAAGCCGTCTGAACATGGAATGACACACAAATGAAACATTCACTGGGGTGAATGGTAATTCAAGTGAACCGTCCGACATCACCTTTAGCAATTGATCTGTCGTTATTACCTCGCCAAGTACAATTTTTAACATTTTGTGCAATTAATTTGTGCACATTGACTGCTTCGTAAGCCGAGTGGTCGCAAGTGCGACTGGCGAGCAAGGGGTCTCGGGTTCGATTCCCGGATCGGGCAAAGTAATACTGGGTTTTTAAAAATCTCAGTAGTAGCACGGAGTCAGGAAATGTGCCCGGTATATGGCAATAGACTCACCCCCTATTACATGGGACTCGTAACATAAATAGTGAAAAGTGGGTGTTACATTGTACAGTGGCATTAAGTGCCGTAATGTGCACCTCTGCCTACCCCTTCGGGGATAAAAAGGCGTGATGTTATGTTATGTAATTTGTGCATATCTATCTACCACTTAGAAAATATATCGTATCTCCCTCATTTCTTGTGTAGGTCAACGCATTTCTACTGGTTTTGCTATAATACTTATTCCGGCTTACGCACGTCGTGTGACGAGGAACTCGACTAGTTTCAAGCCATACTAGAGGCGATTTCGATTACTGGGTTCGATTAAGGTCTCAGCATTCGAAACTAGTCGAGTTCCTCGTCCAACAGCTACGCAAGTAAACCAAAAACATAATAATTAATTTAATTTCTACGCATAACATTTGTGCATAGATATGTAAGTAAAAATATAAACCTATTTAGCAGCCATTATGTCTAGTTAAATAATTTATATTAAAATTATGCCAAGATTTTTTAAATAAATACTCTTTTTATAATAACTATCGTGAGACATACTAAATTAAATAAAAATAAAGGGTTACTCACGTGAATATACTGAGAAAAGCCTACTGCTTTAGGCTCCGCGACATCGCACGCTGCTCATGAGGAAGAACCCCTCTGTGGTTCGAAACTAGTAGAGCTTTTCTCAGTATACACGTGAGTAACCCACGATTTTCAGTTAATATACTTTTTGTGGGTTATTTATAGTTACATTATGCGGGCCATGGAGCGCAGTATCTTAGGAGTTCGACTATCGGACAGAATTAGGAACACCCCGTTGCGCTCCACGACTAAAATCGTTGATGTTGACCATAAAGCCGCAGGCTTGAAGTGGAACTGGGCTGGTCATGTCTGCCGCATGTCAGATGAGCGGTGAGCAAAACTTACTACTGAGTGGAGCACACTCAACGTCAGTAGACGTCGGGGCAGGCCCAAAAGGAGATGGCGGGACGAATTGGACATGTATGACAAGGGTTGGCCGCAAAAAGATTTACATAGAGAGGAGTGGAAGGGTAGGGAGGCCTTCGCCCTGCAGTGGGACGATCATGGCTGAAAATAAATAAATGAAAATACTTATTGTGATATACGGTTAAAGAAAACATAGTGAGGAATCCAATGGGGCCTACAGGGCCTATTTTTTCTCATCAAATTGCGCTAGTTGTAGGTAGAGTCTGGCAAACGAAAGTAGAGACTGAAAAAGCCCCGCAAATTTAAAAAATATCGGTATAGCAACCCAAAAATGAGTATGTCATACCTGGAGTAACGTAATTTGATACTTTATAATAATTTGTTTGTTTGTTACGTCTTCACGTCTGGTTACTCCAGGTATGACATACTAATTTTTGGGTTGCTATACTGATATTTTTTAAATTTGCCGGGCTTTTTCATTCTCTACTTTCGTTTGCCAGACTCTAAATATTTTTCATTTTTCTGTAAATGACGGAAGTCCGTAAGTGCGAACTACACGCCGCCGTCTTGTAACTAGCCTTATAACGCGGCTCAACACACACAAACTCAAACACGTAATTGATATTATTCATAATTCCATAAAACTCCAATAAGAAACATTGCTGTCGCTTATTCTGAAATACTGTCGAACTTAAACGATTTATTATAGCCGTATTTTTAACTATTGGCCCGAAACTTTCTCTTACATTGAACCTTTATGACTTCTGTGACATGCCCCCGAGAAATGACACGGTTTCAAAACTACACCTTGTATTTTCTGATTAATGATTCCCTTTCATTATTGTTCATATTCATACCTATGATAGCGAGATCATCACTGCAGCCATCATGACGAGAATCCAGGAACTAATTTTCTATAATTTCTCGTATCTTCGAACAGACTCTTTACAAATATTACCTGGAAATGAAAATGGGTAATTATTACACGAGGCTGGTTGAATCATCACGCTAATTATTCATTATGTACCACGGATGGGGCCCAATAGGGCTGATGCCGATTCGGAGCCGCGGAGAACCTAACGTTGCCGGGGCTCCGGCTCGAAGCGCCGACTGCCAGATCTCGGGTTCGATTCCCGGGTCGGGCAAAGTATGACTGGGTTTTTAAAAAATTCTCAGTAGTAGCACGGAGTCTGAAATTGTGCCCGGTATATAGACTCATCCCCTATTACATGGGACACATAACATAAATAGTGAAAAGTGGGTGTTACGTTGTTGTACAGTGGCATAATGTGCACCTCTGCCTACCCCTTCGGGGATAAAAGGCGTGATGTTATGTTATATAATAAAATCGTAGAAAAGTCGAAACTGTACATTAAATATTTTTTAAAGAATACTTGGGGTGTGTTCTACAATCAATATCATCAAATATGTTTTTTTGAATTTTTGTCTGTTTGTCTGTATGTATGTCCGGGATGATCTCAAAAAGTACTGAATGGATTTACTTCAAATTTCGCATGAATATTACTAACAAATCGGGTCAACATATAGGCTCAATATTATCACGCTATCATCTACGGGGGAGGAGCCCAGGAGCCCTATACTAGGTACTGAATCGACATGTACTACCGTAGAATATCCCTTGATAAAAACTAATTCAAAAGCCTAAATTCTGTCAGAAGTTCAACGCGGGCGCAGCCGCGGGCAACAGCTAGTATTGTTATAAATGTTATGTTATTTTACATTAAGGCTTACCTGTGTAATTCCTACTAGTAGCATTAGCACAACGTGGCCTATCGACCATTTTAATACCCTGCAACAGAAAAATATCAAATTAGAATATATTTTTTTTATAATATTACAGATTAATTCTCCACGGACTCTAGGTCCGTGCCCTTGTCATACAATTTTTTTTATTATAATACATCTAAACAATTTATATAAAGTAAAGAGGGAACCTAGTTACACACTACAATTAACCACATCTATAATTATTAACAAAAGTATAGGTTACATAATAATTAGGCATTATTTATTTATTTGCTGACTGATTTATTGACTGCCTCGTTGACCGAGTGGTCGTAAGTGCGACTGCCGGGCAAGGGGTCTCGGGTTCGATTCCCGGGTCGGGCAAAGTATTACTGGGTTTTTAAATATTCTCAGTAATAGCACGGAGTCTGGAATTGTGCCCGGTATATGGCGATAGGCTCACCCCCTATTACATTGGACTCATAAGATAAATAGTGAAAAGTGGGTGTTACATTGTACAGTGGTATAATGTGCACCTCTGCCTACCCCTTCGGGGATGAAAGGCGTGATGTTATGTTATGTATTTATTTATTTCTATTTCGAACGCTCTATGAAATCAGCCCACCAACAAGATGGGAGAGCCGACCTGACCCAGCAGAAGGCATCCGTTCTCGAGTATGACGTGTGTGTCAGCAATTGGTCCGGTCAACCTTATTATTGGGAACGGAACAACCCAACACACAGCGCCACCGACTGTACGACATTTATGTGTGCATGACGCCTCAACCCTTGCCACGTGGGCCGATTCCAATAAAGCTTACAATAGTCCAAAGTCAATTGGTTACTTTCTATTTCTACATGTTTCTGCATACAAATTTCCTCATGTTGCGTTCGTCTCATCACAAGCAACACTCCCCGCCCAAGAGAGCACCCACAACTGCCGTGTCCCTGTGTTTGATAGCCATTTTCAGGTTGTATATTAGAATATGGTAGATGACTAATTTTTTTTTTAATGTCCGTCTGGTAGTCTCCCTTGGGGATTCTCCGGGGCAGGTCTGTTAGAAGACCCGGTGTTCCCTACAAGTGCTGAGGGTGGCCACCGGGGGCGTGTAAGAGAGGTAAAAATCCCACATACCCTAGTCTTTCTCCCCAAAAACAAAAACAAAGCGAGCCTTTTGAAAGTTTCCCCCGTCATCAAAAAAAGACTATAAAACTACGATCTGTGGCGACACACGGCCCGAGTGAATAGGTTGTTTATAGGATGACGTGCCGCATCGTCGTGCACCACCAAGCGAGGTCAAACGTAAGCCCATCATTTCTAAAAAAGAGCCCCGAATAAGGGCTCACATACAAAACTGCGAAGATAAATGTGCTCCCTCCTTATACGCATCGCAAGAATCTTGTCTTCCCATAATCTTCTTTGTTTCTTTTTCCTGTATCTCCTAAGCAATAACATAAGTGCACACTTCTTGTTACGATCCATGTCACGACCTAGTTTTCAATTTAAAATACGTTTAGTACGGTTGACGGTCGTCGAAGGAATGGTCACCCTGGGAGACGCCTTGTCGCACGAAATCGCATCGCAGCAATTCGCATCGCAGTTTTATGATCGAGCCGTCACATATCAATTTCTATTTTAAACTGTCAAACACCAAGCGGTCACCGGTGACCGCAACCTATTGTTCTATAATTGTGTCTACAAAACCGGTACTCGACGAGTTAATCTCGACTCACCTAGAACACATATCCTCAGCCAGGTTCCGATCTCTGGCCTCGTGCGCCGAGTGCAGCTCTTGCAACCGCCGCGCTGTGGACACTTTGTCTTTAACTCGAGTCACTGACTCGGATATATCTCGAACTCGCATCATGTATGTTTCTGCTGCGTTACCTGCGGAGAAAAGTGCATAAATAAATAAATTTTATTTTCAGTTACATCAGAAATTCAAGAAACGACTGCACGGCTGTGTCGTGGGTTCGATTCCCGCACGGAACAACTCTTTGTGTGATCTACAGATTATTGTTCCGAGTCTGGGTGTCCTGTGTATGTGAACTTGAATGTTTGTAAACGCACCCACGACACAGGAGAAAATCCTAATGTGGGGAAACGTTTTATTTAAAAAAAAAAACTAAAGCTTAGGATTCACTACGGGACAAAGGCCTACGACATATATCGGCGACATGTCAAACGAAGCCGGCCGATTGCGCCCGACATATTATATGGCGACACCGCCAAATGTCGGTGAATTATGTACTGCAGGAGACAGAATAATTTAAGCCTAAAGGCCAAAAAAAGAGACTGTACAACTTGGTGAAGCCCAGTCGCCAAGCATCAAGGAAAGGACAATGCCAGGTGCTCAGTACATCTTTGACCCACTATATTAGAGTCATGTACAAGTATGCAGTTTTCAGCATCGTGTAGTGTATTAATTACAGATACCTAAACATTTGTCCTGAAACCTGTAAAACTTGCGGTTTTTGTTTAAAACACAAAACAATAATGATAAATAACGCGAAAACAACGGAAACGCAGAGAGCGAATGAAAGATAATATTGACAGTGACAGCTGACGAGCGCTTCAAAACGTTTCGTTACACAAAAAAATCATAACTAATGATAGTAATCGTTTCTTTTATATTTTCGTTACTTACTTTTTATTTTCATAGTTTCGTACAAGCGATGCGTATGATGTAACGCAAATAGTCATTAGACAATACGGAATACGCCTTGCAAAAAAGTATTTCCGGGATTGAACTTCTTTTTTTATTAAATTGTAAACCGCAAGTTATTCGTCAAAATTATTTTCATCAATTTACTTTTTTTGTAAATGATAGTATGACTGGGTCAGGATCTGGCATTGTCATTTAACTAAAAACTAAATGGGTCCTATGTGTGAGCTGTTATACTTGCTTCCAACAATAGGTATGGCAAAAGCGCCTAAACGCACGGAAATGTATTCCGGATTCCACCTGACGAAACAATTAAATTATTTAACATAGTGTTACGTTCATATTGCCAGAGATCACACTCCCAGAGTATGTCATGGGCGGAATGCTCGTATTGCAGCTCCGCTGTCGAACATTGGCACCATGGTGAATCAATAAGTTTAAATTAATGTTATGGATTGTTGATGATGTGAGTTTACAGACTTACCAAGTTCCATCTCCTTGTCATCATCATAATCCCTTTCTTCTGGATCCTCTCCCTCTATCAGCATGTCGAAGAATACCTGAAATAAGATTTTTTATTAAAACTACCGTGAGATTGACGTAAATTTTGACACTTGTCAGTGTCATCCCCATACATTTAGTTTTCTACTCTCTCTGTAGACAAGCGCTAAAGTGACGTTTGGCTAAAGGCACTGTTAGGGCAGTGACGGGGCAACAGGCTGCTGAGCAACGGGACGCGAGTTCAATTCCCACACGCAAAGAATTATTGTTTGTGATACTGGATTTGTGTCCAGTATATGGCAATAGATTCACCCCCTATTACATGGGACTCGTAACGTAAATAGAGCTGAAATATTGTATACACGTTTAGTTTGCGCGACCCTAGATTTAGGTATACCTAAGTAATTGTTTTGATAACAATAAACAATACACTTACAGTTTTCTTACTAAAAGTGCTGAAACTGTTATCGAAACAGAATCTGTAGTCGCCATCTTGTGTCGCAGTGTGCCTGTGTGAGTTCTCCGGCTTCTTGTAGTCAGCCACTATCATGCGCCCACCAGGGTCCGACATTTGGAACGATATGTCTAAGTCGCCGTGTGTCGAGTCTATCACCTGGAAATTAAAAAAGACGTGTATAATAACATGAACTTTACAAACTAATTAGCTGACTCGGCAAACTTCGTACCACCTACAATGAAACAAGTGAATTTATTTCTGCAAATAGGCTACAAGGCAGCACTTTTACACGTCAATTTTATCAAGCGAACGGTGAGGTCGACATTTCCTAACTGACTACTCTGAGAAGAAATGCCGAAACAAACTCAGGGGTTCGTCTCTTCTAAACCTTCCCTGGACTTCCATTTCAAGACCAAAATTACCCGAATCGGTTCAGCTGTTCTCGAGTTTTAGCGGGACTAACAAATATTAATTCATTTTTATATATCGACGGTTGAAAGGCTAATTGATCTAATAGACATTTTTTGCGATAATGGGTTAAAAACATATTCGAAATCAGCGAATTC